GGTAAGGCAAGGAAATTACTCCAATAACCTGGCAGCTTTTTCATGAAAACTCTATTCCCCAACTGCTTTCATTTAAGCAGCGCTATTTTAATAATACTTCCCTATTGCCTGGCAAATACAAATGTGAATAGATAGTAGATAGTATCCTCTAATGGTCCCAGAAAACACTGGGATATATATGGCGATATATATACACACACACATATGGCAGAGTGGGGTGTGTACCTACATATACATGCTTATTATGTTGTCTACACACAAGTACACACACCCCCCAACTTACATTTCTTATTTCTCTGTGGCCCATCAGAAGGAAGAGCTGCTCAGGTGGGGCTCTCTGAGGCTGGGCTGACACAAACTATGTAGAAAACCAACAACCCATCACTGAAGATTACCTAAATTGCAGGAGAAGAGGAATACTGTTTCTCCCTGTAGCTCTGTGTAGTTTTATACATGAAACATGAATCTGTAGTTGTAAGTGAAGTCAGGTAGAACTGGATAAAACTCCTGCAATAGGTACACAAGAGCTCCCATTGACTTACGAGATGCCTGGAGCTGAAAAGCCAGCGCTGGGATGTGATGGCAGGTGAGAAAAGTGGCTGGAATGCACAGGGCATCCTCCTGCTTTGTGCCAGGAGAAACCACGTGAATGTGGACACCCCTTTTACACATTTTACCTTTAAATCTGGTGGCTGCCACATTTGTGCATGACAAGTGTCCTGACTGACACCTTCCCTTCCCTTTCCCACTGCCAACCTGGACAGGAGATGTGATGTCTGTCTGTCCAGCCCCTGTGCATCCCAGAGCTGCCTGCTCACACATGCATCCATGGTCAGGAAGCAGAAGTTGTCATGCTGTGTCATTTCTCTCCTTCTCCAACACAGGGATCCTGCTGAAAAGAAGTGAAGAAATAAATAACATCAAAACCCTGCCATCAAAACCTTGCCAAGCAAACTGACGTGTAGCAAAAAAAAACAGCTGAGGTGAGGAGAAAAGCCTGGGTGGGTAGTTACTTCAGTTGTGTATCTTTTTTAGGGTGAGCCTTTCTGTCTCTCCAGCATAAAAGCACTTCCAGACAGATTACTAAAGCACCCGGAAAAGTATTCCCCACCTCTTTTCTATCTCCCAGAACTGCATCCCAAAGAGCAGCAGCGTTTAGGCAAGCATTTTACCACCTTCAACTCCAGCAGCAGGAGGAGTGCAGGCAAGGGTTAAGTGACAGCTTATTTATTGTTGATAAGGATGTGCAGAAGCCTGGAAGATCTCTTTTTTTTTCCAGTTTTCACTGGATGACAGACATTTACAGGCAGTTCTGCTGTCCCTGGGAACGTCAGTGTGAAATGGAGAACCGGTGGCATTTACAGATTGAAGTTTCTCCTTGTACTCAATGACAGAATAAAGGGCAAGAAAGAAAACAAGCCCAAACCCACGTGTGTTTTTAACCACCAGCATCTCCAGCCTGGTTTTATGCCAGCTCTAACTCTGGCTGGTTAAACTCACTGCACTGTTGCAGCGAAAGGCAGTTTAAGCTGATGCTACTGGACAACAGTGCAGAGTGCAACTCTGCTCAGAACTATTTCTCACCTGCTTAATTATATCCCGCACTTAGAGTTTCACAGAGAACAGATGTGAAGGCTTACCTTGGGACAGATACATTATGTATACAGCATTAACTTCACACCCATACGGTCCCCATTTTAATTACACAGCCAGTCGGGGACCCAGGATAGTTTGCTGGCAGAGCAGTTGGTTTCATTAGCAATTCCCAAGACCTCCGCTGTCTGTGAGCATCCTCACCCATGCAGGCTGAGCTGCGCTGAGGATCCATCCCATGGGAAGCAAGGGTGAGCCATGCACTGCCTGACCTCTGGGCTGTGCCCCTCAAAATCACCAAAAGAGCAGCTGCTGGTTCACACCTTTTACAAACTCCAGCCTGAGATTTAACATAAACACAAGTATTTTGGAGAAAAGCCTTAATGTGATGTGAAATGTGAGGCCAAAGGATATCAAAAGACAACTTGAAGGTACAGCGCTATAGCAGTGTGTCTGATCTCTGACCCCGTCAAGGAAACATCAATATGACAGGTCCCCACAGGCTGCGTCTCTCTGCTAATAAAAGCTTTTTAGCAACACCCAGAGAAGGGGTTTGATCACAGCTTCTCACTGGGTTTAATAGGAAGTGAAGCACAAGGTAGCATTTGGGTTTGTCATACCATTTGAACTGACATAAGCAATGCCCTTATGTTTTGTTAGATCCACAGGAACTCCAAAAATTCCTCCAAATTTTAACAGATCCAAAATTGGACTAAAATCTTGCTTGTGCTACCATCACTCTAAGATATCTAATCTTAGATATCATATCTTTACGATATCTGATCTCTCTCTAAGAGAGCAGCATTTTCTCCATCAAGCCCCACTGCATCAAAGCCAGGCAAGGAAACAGTTTCTGCACTTCTCCCTCCCCAAGATGAACATAACGAAAGGCCATTTCCTTCTTTTCCCTTTGCATCTTTTCCAGGGAGCAAACAGCTCCACTGAACCCTTTCCCCACAGCCACCTTTCATTAGCTGGGCTGCCCTTCTCCCTTCCCACAGCGCAGCCACACAGCCCTCCAGTTCCAGCCCAGCAGAGAAATCATCAATATACATATACCAGATGAAATTAAAGTTGCCCCTGTGAGTTATTCTGTGACACAAGCTCGCATCGGTGATATTAAATCCTATTAATTAATATTTAATTAATTATTTTCCTTGCGTAAAAACAGTGTTACTGGGATGCCTCAAGATATTACAACGTTCACAGTTACAAAAGCTGCATATTTGTTAGGAGCAGCATGACAAATCTGTCGCTGTTAGAACTGCTCTACCAAGACAAGAAAAATCCTGAATAAACTCTAATAGGTCAACAATTTGCCAGAAATATCAGCTGAATCAGGAGCCTGAGGTTTCATCTTACTGGAGCATTACTTGCTATGTGCACAAAGAGCCTTATCTCAGCAGAACACTGAACGTTACTTACCAAAGGGCCAGCAAGGCTCATGTTTTGCTAACTTCCACTCATTTGAGCTTAATTCTTTGCTTAGTTATATCTCATCTGCTTTTTGAACAGGGAAACAGAAAAGCACAAGGTGTGACAGACAAACTTTGCCTCTTTGAAGTGAAGAGGACCTTTGCAGTGGCATTTGAAGAAGAACTGGGCAAAGCTCATCTGAAGTGTCCGACTTTCAGCAAATATGGTGCTTAACACTCATCCCTTGTGATGCAGAAAGTACAAGAACACTTTTCTGTTTGTTTCTGGTTGTTGGGACAATGCTCTTCCAGACAGCAGTGCTTTGGGGAGGGCTGCACAGTGGTGATGTCTTTGCTGTGTGGTGGCACAGACAAGGGGATACAGGAGATCGAGTGGTCAGACGTGGTGAGCATCCTGGGTTGTCTTATTTCTGCAGGATACAGCACTGCTTGGTCCACAGTTGGTATAAATGGGTCAGTCAGGCTTTTGGTCTCCATCCCTACCAGAGTGACTGCTGCTGACATTTATTCAGGTGGTGACCTTTTCAGTGGCCTTAGGAGACCTGGGAGGTGAAGCTCCCAAACAAAAGCCTTGGTGGCCTTTTGAAAAATTCATCTCTCCCTGCTGAAAACAGAAGAGGAAATAAATACAATAAAATACTCCCTTACTGAAGTTGTTCTGCAATGAGTCAGTTGCTGCCAGACAGGAGATGGGCCAGCATCCCTCTGTTCGCTGCAGTGATTTGACTAATTACTTCTATCTGCTCCAGAAGAGCAGCCTCCTACAGCCTTTCTGCTGTCTGGGTCCTGTCTGTCAGCAGCAGAGAAGTGGGTAGTGATGGGAAACATCGCCCTTCTGGTTTGGGTGGTGGCATTTTGCCTGTTCCTTACTGCAGCTGGGTGGCAGGTCCAAAAATCAAGAGCTCCTACTCAGAGAGAAGCTGAACCCTTGAAAGCCAGGGCTGGGTAGACTGGTTATTTTGGGGTCGGCATGCAGGTGCTCACATCTTCCCGGCGTGGAGTGGTTGCCTATGTCACCATATGCCCCTTGGATGTGTGGGGTGGGGTGACAGACCCTGTGGGGACAAGGAGGTGGACAGCGCAGCCCAGTGGAGCAGTTGGAGCCTCCATGCGAATTAAAAGGTGCAGGCACGCAGTCAGACATCACGCTTCAAGGAAAACAGCACTGAGTTTTAAGGTGGTATTTTCTTTCTGCGTGAGGCTGATGAGTTCTCCTTCAGGATTTGGGGACTGAACTGCCATAGACCTCACTCAAAAACGTTGCCCAGTCGGGCAGTGGGTCCACATTCTTCCAGCTCTTGCAAAATGCTGCTGTCTCCTCCGAGCTGCTAAACAGGGCCCAGGACTTCTGCAACTGTTACTTAGAGGCAAATGCTATTAAAGTAAATGAGAAGAACAAGGCAGCCGCATACACAAACTGATTATATTTTTACACTTGTTTAAAATCACAAGTGTGATTTTTAATTATAGTGGATCAAAGAAAATAACCACATTAATCCAGTGTAATCACGCGCAAGCTGAATTGTTAGCGACATTGTATTTAATTGGCAGTAAGCTCAGGCAACACTAAATACAAATGAAAAACACTGACACATTCTGAAGACTAATTAATATGACAGACTGATAGGAAGTGCATTGTTTATTACTACTAATTTCCAGTAGCTGGTTCAACACCATTTTGTTACCATGATCCCCTGTGCTGTGTCCATCAGTGCATGATATTTAAAAGGAAAATTAAACATGATTCATTTTAAGGAGGAACAAAGGAGTTAAAAGATAATTAAATTACGTATTTCAAAGACCAAGCTGCAGATAAAGAGCTTTAAAGTATAGAATTTCTCTCTTTCCAACTACAAGTCCCCTTGATATGTGCACATATTTTACATTAATGTGCTACACCAGTGACAGAAGACACTTTTCCCCCCCGTACATTTTAATGCAGTTAACAAATGGTGATTTTTTTTTTTCCAGGGGCTGACACAACAAACAGGGGGATTACCCTCAGGACCCTGCTCAAAAACAGCAGGTCATTGGAAGAATTTCCCTTGGCTCCAGTGGGGTTCCAATCACATTCTAAGCTTTCAGATCAGGACTTGTTATCTTTCTTTTTAGCCTTAGAAAATACCTAGCAGAAATGAAAAACATCCATCCAGGTAAAGTTTTTTAAATAGAGTGTCCTTAAAGTATGCTAAAGCTTTCCAGAGAGTCACACACTTTAACATCCTCCTACCTGACTGCACTATCTTCCACTTGGCTATGGACTCTAATGGCACATATTTGTCACACCTTGTTACAGCCTTGGTCAATAGGATAATAGAATAATCAATCATCTATATGTTAGTGTGAGACATAATAAATAAAGTGCATAATAGTCAAACAGGTCTTCACCAAGGAAAAGTTGAACAGCTACAGTGGTTGTCAATGGTAAACTGCCTATGATAAGTATGCAAACATTGACCCCAAGTGTTACGCTGAGAACATGGAAATTAAAATCATCTATCTTACTCGATTCAAAGCCTCCCAGATAACAAGGATGGTATTTAAGGAAAAACGTGGCTGGACTTGGATTGCTTCTTTCTGTTAGATGAAAATTAAATGAAGCCAAAATTTGGAAAATACTGGTTTAATTAAAGATACTTCACCAGCTCATAAATGATACATTCTCCATCCGGTTGCGAAGTGTAAGTTTGAGATGAGGTGTCAGAGCTGCAGAGGATTCCTAAAGGTTAGTTCCCATTTATGTGCTCTATAAAAGGAGACTTCTGGAAATGAAGGACTAATTATTGAAGTTCACAAATTGCTACCCTAGTCTGCTCAGAGAGTGCAGCATCCCTGATTACAGCCAAAGCAGTGTTTTCTTCAGCAACTTACTCCAAATATGCAATATAAGATGGCCAAAAGAGACCTTGGCCAAAAGCAGACACTGGCATGGAATCAAGCATGAAAATATTAATAGATAATCATCCAGAAACTAATTACAAAATATAAAAAGTCCAGTTTCATTAGTGCAGCAGCAGGAGAACCCTTGCAAAGTAGTTTCTGAACTTCCTAATGCTCTTCCCAGTGTATGTCTATGTTAGCTAAAGCCACATTAGAATCACAGAATGGCTGTTGGAAGGGTTGGAAGGAAACTTAAATCTCATCCAGTTCCAACCCCTGCCACGGGCAAGGACACCTTCCACTAGAGCAGCTTGCTCCAAGCCCTGTCCAACCGGGCCTTGAACACTGCCAGGGATGGGGCAGCCACAGCTGCTCTGGGCACCCTGTGCCAGCGCCTCAGCACCCTCACAGGGAAGAATCATTCATTTAAATTAGAGGAGTGAAAAAAAACCCTAACAGTGAAGGTGCCAATTCACTGGAACACACTGTAGGTACAAATATGGTAAAAAAAACCAAACAAGCAAAAAACAAAGATTGAGCCTGATGCCTTCCTGGAAATACGCCATAATCTCTGCACATTATTGGGTCATCTCTAGGAAAACAGGCCAAGATGAAATGGCTGGTGATAGAAAGCAGGCCAGGCTAGAAGACATGGTGACTTCTTTTGAACTCAAAACTTCTTCTTATAGTGCAATTGGTCCAAACAAATTAAAACTATATTTAGTGGGACTTAGGCGGACTCACATTTAAGCATGAGGCAAAAACCCATCCCCAAATCCCCACTGCTCCAAGCCCTGCACATCAGCCATGGGTTTATCCTAGCACATGGCCATGGCAGTTATTCCCTTTCCTAATTGCAAAGCTGGGTTACAAAAAGCAGCTTTTCCCAGGGTGGAATTCAACCATACATTTAATGTAAAGCTTGTGCCCCTATAATAGCCCTATGCCCTCCCTACATCCACAGTGATGAGCAGAGGGGAGAAGCCGTACCCACAGTCAACACTTATGCTGATGCCTGCTGAATCACCTGCTGTACTGTAAAAGCAGCCATTATCAACCAAAAGGTGCCTGACAAATGCTCCCTTTAGAGCAGAGCTGCACTGGGTAGCACAGATGCTCATTGTCAGCTCACTACCACTAACAGAAGCAGTTTTAATCAAGATGCCTCCAACACAGCCTTACAAACACTTGGCACTGAGACAGTGGGTAACAGAAGCCCATCACTGCTGAGGAAGACTTTGAGATGAAGACAGAGGAGAGGTAAACTTCCTGTCTCCAAGGAATTTGGAGAACTACAGATGTTACTGATTTGTAGCATTGCTGAGAAGCTCCCTTGCTGCTAGGCAGTGCTGGCACTCAGTGAAATGCGATCCTCCATCCAAAGAGTGCCTGTGATTGCTTGAATGGAATCAGTGCTAAAGACACCCACCAGTGCACCCTGAAATGGTTAAAAAAGCTCCTCATATATTGACTCAGCCATTAGCAAGGACTGAGGGAGCAAAGTCCTCTAGCATTGCTCTCGGCTGCATTGTACCACATTTTGGAGAGCTTTGCAGAACCACAATAAAAATGCCTCTGAGGTGGTTTAGAAACCCAGGAGGCGATTATTCAGATAAGCCACAATGAGATTAAGATCTGATATCATCAGAAAGGGTGCAAGGCACTGTCACACAAGGGAGAGAGATGTGAAGGAGGGAAGGATGTGAACTCTGTTTAAGCGGTCCCACGGTAAAACAGCTTGCAGCCAGTGCACAACTTACTGTCAGCTCTCTTTGAGTGGCTCCTTTGATTGCACTGCTCTCTGAAGGAGCACTTGTCACTTTTTATCGAAGGAAAGAGGAAGAAAGCAAGGCAGCCTGTTGCCAGGAGAAAAGATGCCACTCACTTCAAGTTAAAATATAGACAGCGACAATGCCCTGGCTGCTGATGATCAAGGACCAGCAGAAGTGTGAAGGAAGTATCAATGCAGGGCAAGAGAAAGAAAACAACAAGAGACTGGAGCGAGTACATAGTGGGGAGGGACAAGCCCCCATACTCCCTGTCTGTAGCTGGTAGTGCCTGAAATGCCTGAGTGTGCAGGAGGAGAAAACAGCAGTGGTGGGTCCTTCAAAAGCTGGCAGCTCCCTGTCAGGCTGAGAATGCTGCTTCCACAGCCCTTGTACCCAAACAGCCATAGGACTGTTGGGATCAACTCAAGGTGATCTACTGCAGGAGCATTTTAAGTCCCCTTAAAGGTCAATTGGTTGGTTGGCACTGCCTAACTTTGGTTAGTCCTTAGAGCAGGTTATGCTCAGCACATGAGGAGCTCTAATGGAAATAGAGAAAAGCCATAGCATTGCACAACCTGTCCCACAGTCTCTACCTTCCCATGTCATCAAGCTCAGAGTTGTTCAGTGAAATCCACCTTGGGAAGCTGGAAATCCCTCACCCCAGAGCAAGAGTATTAAAGCACTGTGATTTTATCTCTGTAACCTAGCAAGCAGAAGAAAACAACCTGGGGAAGGTACAAAAGCTCAAGCAACTAAGCGCCCCTTTCCCTCCTCCTTGTTTTGCGAAGATTGTGCTTGTTGAAGATAATAATCACCAAACAGAAAACGCTGCACAAAAAGACTCAGGCAGAGAAAGCCCAATTTCCCCTCAGCTCTGGTGTTTCTGCTCAGTTACTTTGGCATATTAAAAGGCACCAGAGATGACAGTAGTAACAGACAAGATGGAGGGAATGACTCTGCAGACATAGAAGAGACAAAAAATGCAAGGCAAGTATTACAGTATCCCAATTACCATTTCCCACTGGAGCTGGGAAAGCTGATATTTAACAGCTGGATCCTGCAGACTAACCAATTTACTCCCATGGTTTTGTTGCAGAAAATATTTATATCTATTGTTATAGATATAAATTCAGCTTTATTTTGATAATTATAGATATATTTATTATATATATTATATATATATTTACAGATATAAATTCAGCTTTATTTTGCCCAGCATTGAATCCATCTTGATGCCATCTGGCATTGGCTCTATCAGACATGGGGGAAGCTTCTAGAAGCTTCTCACAGAAGCCACCCCCATAGCATCCTGCTACCAAAAACCTTGCCATGAAAACCTAATAGAGTGATTCTATGATTCTAAGCTGCAGGAATCACAAACGGTGCATCTGTCCTGAGCTGATGATGGATAAAGTCACTAAAAAGCTCTTATCCACTCGTTTTAGCAGCATTAGAGCACAATTAACTCTGTGTGCTGCAGAGGGTGGGTAAGTGGAGGTCTGATTTTTTTTCAGTCAGTTCTAGTTGTCATCAGCCTGCTAGATTTCATAATATATGTTTCATAATGTATGCTCATCCTGTATTTTTCCTTTAATATGAGCACAGGGCTCACTCAGAATCCCCAGTTCTGTGACTCACAGGAGCACAAAGCCATCCATCCCTGCAGTGGAGAGCAATCACTAAGAAATTACACATACATTTGGCAACAGGCAGTACCAATGTCACCTTCTAAACAGGTAACCAAGTCATGCAGGAATAAACAGGGGAACAGCCTTTTCCCTGGAAGCAAAGGAAGGCAGTGGCTCCAAGTCCTGCAGTATTGAGTTATCAGCTGTGGCTATGTTTCCCTAAGACTTGCTTCTCTGCATCTCAGCCTCTAGTGGATAGGTGACATATGGACATCTTCCTGCTCCTGGCCGCCTTGCCAGAGGTCACAGTCCTTTTCCCCACAGTGATTTGGGGCTGGCTGGCTGCTGCAAGCATCGTGGAAACTTTCCATCCTATGTGCCTTCTGAGCTCATTAGCTCTCTTCTGTGCACTGACTTTTTGTGGAAGGACTTCAAGAGCAACCCTGTCAGCTTCCAGACTGTGGGATATTCTCCTGGAGTAAAAACCTCATCGCTGTTTATAACACCAGGGGCACTAATCCCTCACCAGCACAGGGCTGCCTGGATGTGGCTCCCAGTGCTGAGGAACACAGAAGACCCTCTGGCATCCCAGGGTTAACGGGTCAAAGCAACCACAGAAAGGTCAAACACAGCACAGGAACCTGTGCCATGGCCAGCACCCATCCCTGGGGACATGCCACATGGGAGCCCCTAGGAACACACATCCAAAGCTATTGCTGTCCTATTGGCACAGCACCTAGGGACAGAGTGTGGGCATCACCCGTGGGCAGGCCTGAGCTAACACAGCATCTCTGCTGTGTAAGGAAATGAAGCATGCCTATTTATCGTCTTTGGAGGATTTTTCCCTTATATTTTTAAGGGAGAAGAATGCAGATCTAGTCTGTCTCAGGAAATATGTTATAAAACTCCAATTTGCCCATCTTGGCACTTTCACCCTAGCATTGACCCTACACATGAACTCCCGTGAATAAGTCTAATCCTGTTTTTCATGTTTCCCCAGGTTAATGAATACTTATGAATCATTTTTCCAGAGCCAAAGCATGGCCCTTAGAACCAGCCGTGATAGATCAATTTGTTTTCTTGCCAATTCTTCAAATTGTTTTTTTTTTTCTTGTTGTTCTTCATGAAACTTAGTGAGGGGGGAAAAAATCTCATTCCCAGTTGGTTCTTATCAAAGTGGGGATGGGAGGGGGGCTTTTGTTTAGTTTGGAGGCTTGGGGGGGAGGGGGGAAGGGGTT